GTAATGCTAATGTTGCTCAGAGGAATCCTTGTCCTATGTTTCTACATATCATAGTTTGGAAGAAGGCAAGCACTGACAAGCAACTCATGCAGAGGTGAAATGGTACCCACTCCCTTTGAGAGTGGATAGTTAATTATGTTGCATGTTACATTCAATGCAGAGATATTGTAGATTGCCCACCCTCAGCAGAAGCTGGCTAGAAAGCAAAAGGTCCTGTGAATCATGCAGACACACAGTGTGCAGCATCCTCTGTAGAATAGGTGTTTGGGGCTCCTTGGAGCTTTTAATTGCATATATATTTAATAATATAAACTTTTGTAACTGTAGCATTTGTAAATAATGAACTCTGTAAGAGCAAAGTTGTCTGCCACCCATGAAAAACAAAAGTACTTATTTTTAGTTACACACCAAAAACACATCAACACGAACCTTTGATGTGGAGAACTATTGCACACACAAAAGTATTATACTTAAGAGCTATACCATGAATTCTAGAGGGGTTCACATTTTCAACCACTTCTGTGATATTATGAATCTCTGGATGAAACTGTAAAGGATGGCTGCATGCTTTTATTTTTTTATATGCAGTCAATTTAATAGAATGTGAGGCCCAGGAGAACTATATTTTACTCAAATAAGACTATTAACCTTATTTAGGCATCAATCCCACAGTTCTCTCCAGCACACATGCAGGAAATGCTTAGCCTCTCTCTGTTTTTTTCTCCATGTGCAGAGTGGTGCAAAGAGAGGTATCTTCTTCCAGGGCAAAGTGGTAGAGGGGGTGATGTTTAACTGTCTGCAGAAATTCCTGGATGAAGCAGGTAATCAGCAAGAGATATATCGTATTGATTGTGTAGTATTCCCAAGTGGGGCTTCCTTGAAGGACAGTCCTAGAGGCTGAGGTTGATGCAGAATATTCCTGCCCATGCTTTGACAGAGCAGTGAGAGGTAAACATATTGTACCAGGTTTGAAATATTGACACTAGTTAACACTAGTAACAGGACCTGATTCAAGGTGTTTGTGCTGATGTACAAACAATATGCTCTAAATTTCTCAGGACCAAATATATAAAAGTTTACTATCAATGCCTTAGCAACAGATAAAGCACCTGGCGAGGACATGATTCCGCCAGAGGTGTATAAGAACAACCCGGAATGGTGGGCTCCAGTCCCAGCACAGCTCTTCGCTCACATTAATGCTACAAGAGTTTTTCCCCATGGGTGGAGGCAGAGCATAATTTTCCCAATTTACAAAAAAGGCGATAAATCCATCCCTCAGAATTACTGTCCAATCAGCTTACTGGATATCAGCTCCAAACTTTATACCCACCTTCTTTCCCAGAAACTGGCTAAATGGATGGAAGAAAATAATGCCCTTGACCAGGATCAAGCAGGTTTTAGGAAGGGACATAACAGAGTAGATCAAATCTACGTACGTGTTACATCATCTTGTGTGCAAATATACCACCAGGCCATTTAAATGGCTTTTATTGACTTCTCCTCTGCATTTGACACAATCACTAGAAACCGCCAGTGGGATAAGCTCACAGAGACCAACTTCGATAAGATACTCCTAACTCTAATACAAGAACTATACTCCAACACAACGTTGAGAGTAAGGATTAGCACAGCTGGAAGGCTGACAGAGGAAATTCACACTAACAAAGGGATAAAACAAGGGTGCTTACTTGCACCCCTATTTTTTAACTTTTATATTAATAATATTGTAAAAGCTTTAAACCATCCAGACCATTTCCCCCCTCAATTGGGAACTACATATAAGATTGCAAGTCTCATATATGCTGATGACACTACTATTATCCATGAAAAAAGGGACTGAAACGAAGCTTAAATAAGCTCCAAGAGTTTAGCCGCCTAGAGCAACTAAAAATAAATTACACAAAATCTAAAGTGATGATTTTTGGAAAGCAACCCCCCCCCCAAGTTTAGCTGGACTATAGATGAAAACAAAATAGAACAAGTCCAAACCTTCAAATACCTGGGAGTGCATTTCGATGAGAAAAACTGCTGGAAATCCCAGATACAGCATGAAAATATTGATTCAGAAATCTAGCCATGCTCTGGTCAAATTTTTTCATTCTAAAGGTGGCAAACTAGTAGCCCCAGCTTTAAAAGTATTTTCAGGGAGGGTCATCTCCCAAATGCTTTATGGAATTGAGATCTGGGGTATGAATCAGAACAGCCTACACCATCTTGAAGTAGGTCAGAATAAATTTCTGAGACACATCCTCGCGGCACCCCAGGGGACTCCAGCAGCTTATCTTAGATCAGAAACAGGCATGGTATCCATCAAAGCCAGGGCAATTCTAGCTATACTCTCTTACTATAAAAACGTTGTATGGTAGAGCAATGGAAGAGTGGAGGCTGGGCAACTTTAGTTCAAACCCTACTAAAATCTAAATCCCTCTCCACAGATATTTTTGTTTTTTTCTGGGGTTAAAAGAATGTTGAGAGACTGGTTCTATAAATTGGAGAATGACCAGGACCTGGCCTTAATTCACTCTTCAAATTTCTCTCAGTGGTACCATCTGCTGAAAACAAACCACTCAATGGCGCAATACCTACATACACTTACTTTTGCCTCCTTGAGAAACTCATTCACAGAACTCCACTTCCAAACCATGCCAACCTCTGTCTTAGATGGCAGGTATATGAATGTCCCTAAACATCTAAGGCTATGGATCTGCAAAGCAGGTGAGATAGAGTATGTCCTCCACTATTTACTCTACTGTCAGCTATATCAAAACTGCCAAGTAGGTGAGATAGAGTATGTCCTCCACTATTTCCTCTACTGTCAGCTATATCAAAACTCCCAAGTAAAGCTCCTGGGTAATATTTTGGCTGCTCTACAGGAGGAAAGCCCTCAGATAAAAGTGGTCAGGTTACTCTTGGATTGTGACCCTTATGTTACATATAGAACAGAGCTATTTGTAAAAGCGGCCAGAAATATTCAAGCTAATTTTCTGAAAGCCATTGTGATCAATTGTGTGGGAGATTCCAAGATATAAAGGGGCCCTGATTATTTTACATGTCTGTGATTTTATCATATTTTATTTGACCATATCTGTATTTTAAACAATTGTGATGGCTTTTAGCTAATTCAATAAACCTGAACTAACTATAAAAGTTTACCTTCTTTGATACTAGGATTAAAGTACCTGAGATTTAAGATAAGCCCAAACAATCTACTTCCCAACATCTGTTCATTTTAATGAGGGTTATGTAGAATAATTTATTAGTGAATGTAGGTTTTTATTTCCTCTTTATACAAAATGAAGTTTATATTTCTAATTTAGAAAAGCTAGAGAGACATATTTGTAAGGTGGCCAGTATTGTATAGCAAAGAAGCATCTTCTTTTAAAATGTCACTAATTAAAATGACAGCCTATTAGTTTTCTGTTAATTTCTTTAGAATTAATATTAATTGACACCAGTGACTCAATGAGAACAAATCTCTAAAGCTTTCAACTTTCTACAGCTGCATGGAAAAATATTTAAGGACTCAGTTACCAGACAAATGTAACTCAGGTACAACTAGTTGGACTATTAAGAAAGTCACGCCTCTTTCAACTGAATTAAAATTACTTCCATCATTTCAGACAACAAATTACTGGAAAAATCACTGTGTCTGGCTCAAGTTGCTATACCTGCATTAACTTGATGAAACTGCTACTTGAGGGCTTTAATATTCTGGAACTCTAAACAGTCCTCTGTTGTATCTGTTAGTACCTGTATATGTGACAATTTCCAGACTCAGCTCAGTTAGCATGATCTGGCCCAGATGAAGCAATGCACTCCAATGTCTCAAAAATTATATAGCCAGACTTCATTCTTTTCCTGGCATGCTACTTTTGGTTCCTGAAGAATCAGGAGCACCATCTCACATCACTTTCCAAACATTTGTTCATACCTGGTCCAGAGCTTCCGTAAAGCAATGAAAAAAGAGCTGCTCAGAACAATATTTAATAGAACGCATCCCTGAGCTGCAAAGCTGTTCCCAAAAAACTATGTCAACTTTTCATTGACTATATTTAGCCCTATGGAGTTGACTTTACATAGGCATAAAATAGACATTTCATGTTGCACAGTACTTTGGGGCTCTAAAGAAAAATATGTCTCCCAAGTTTCTTCCTCATAGGAATTGTTACTGACTGTCCTTTCAGTATCTCCGCTCTTAAGAAATTTCCATCCATTATGGACTCCCTCAACTTTGAGTATCTCTGTCCACGGGATCTCATGTAGTATTTCTTTGAGTTTACTGAAGTCAACTTTCCTAAAGTCTGGAGTGTATTATGTACTGTCCCAGCTTTCCTGTTTCTCAGTACCACAAATCCAAACAGAGTATGGTCACTTCCTCCAGAGTACTCACTGTTTCCCCATAGTGACCAATTCTTCTCTGTTACTTAGGATCAGATCTAGAATAGATTGGTGCTTCCTCTACTCATGAAAGATGAAATTGTCAATAAGGCAAGTGAGAAATTTGTTGAGTCTTGTATTCTTGATGGAGCTGGACTTCCAACAGATACCAGGATAGTTTAAGTCTCATCACTGCTATGTTTCTCTTCTTTGAACGTTTATCATTTATTACTTGCCAGCAGTCCTTCTTCATGGAAGTACTGGTTGTGGTGTAAGAAGCAGAATGTTTCCCAACAACACTCTGTGCAAGCAGTTGTCCACTTCCACTATTTTTTGCACAACCACAATTTGAGTACAGGTCTCTCCTCTGCAAGCATTTTGTGACTTTGCTCCTAAGATACAGTTCAGCTATTTATTATGTGACAAAATACTTGGCAATTAGTATTTCCTGTATCATTGGGTAAGCTTATTAGAATGAAATGCTACTGTTTTGCATGCATTTCTAAAGTAAGCCATTCTTTGCAAGCCGAGTGAGAAGCATGCTTACAGAATTAGGCACCTCTTAATAAACAAAATATAACAAACAAAACACAAAGTAGCCAAATGCAGTGGTAAGTACAAACCTCTCTTCTCTTGCTTGCCTTAGCTCTTCTCTCTTGTCTAGATAATTACGACTATAAAACAGAGGTTCATGAAGTTACAGGAAAAATAAAAACTCAGAAACGTGAACAAACTAAACTGCAAAATAAATTATAAAATAACTAAAGCAGAATGGCTAAAATCCTAAAATATTCTTTAATATATAATACATGATTATTATATACATGATCACATGTTAAACTTATGAAGATGTTAGACGTGTCCTAAGAACTAATTGATGTTCTTCATATATTACATCATCTAGTGAAAAAGAAGTCTTACTGAGTCACACAGGAGATGAGACTCTGTTGTAGTAGTTTGGCATATTTGATTAGGATATATTAAACAGTCTTGAACATTTGTGTTGTAGAAAATAAAATCTACACATCTTTCCCCATGTGAATGACCTACCTCCATGGTAGCTACCATTTTGCTCCAGTTTTGTGTAAAGAGGAAAAAAAGGGTTGCCTGTGAAGCCCAACTCAATTTAAGGGTACATAAGACAGAGTGTGCAATGGGGCAGGGAGCAGTGAAAGTTTTAGATGGATGCCGAGTCACACTGTGTCCCTTACATTCTTTTAGCCATAGTGAGGTACATACTATGTTAAATGCATAGTGTCTGGACTTCAATCACATGATTGTGAGGAAAGTGACACATTTATAATAATTATTAATAATCCCACTTTGGACACACTTTTTTCTTGTCTTCTGAACAGTGCTTGGTTGCCTTAGACATTTCTCTTGAACAGATAGATGCCGCTTATGTAGTTAAAGTAGAATCTAGTGTTAGAAGGGATTTGTTCACTGGACAATTTGTGGGAAAAGAAGTAACCTCCAGACTGGTATCAAAACCCAAAGTCTGGCAACTAAGCAGAAAGTAAATGCACCAAAATAATAAGCGGAAAGTGACACATTTATAATAATAATAATTATTAATAATCCCACTTTGGACACCTTTTTCTTGTCTTCTGAACAGTGCTTGGTTGCCTTAGACATTTCTCTTGAACAGATAGATGCCGCTTATGTAGTTAAAGTAGAATCTAGTGTTAGAAGGGATTTGTTCACTGGACAATTTGTGGGAAAAGAAGTAACCTCCAGACTGGTATCAAAAACAAAGTCTGTGGCAACTAAGCAGAAAGTAAATGCACCACAATAATCAGAAACACTGATATAAGAACCTGTGCCTCAGACCAGATGGCTCGACTTACAGACTTTTCAAGTTACAGACTTCTCTGGCTGCAAAATTTAGGTTCGACTTGCAGCCGGAGACTCGACCTACAGACCAGAAAATGGAACAAAAACGGAACAAAAACGGCCGGTTACGGATTAACCGGTTTTCAATACATTGTAGGTCAATGGAGACTCGACCTACAGACTTTTCGACCTACAGCCACCGTTCCAATACGGATTAATTCCGTAAGTAGAGGGTCCACTGTATAAGAACCTGTGCCTCAGATGGCATTTACATTCCCAAAATATATGACAGCATTCCTGTTGCCAGAACTGATGCTTGGATCCTGATTTCACTACAAAGATACCATATACCTTCCTCCGCTGGAATTTATCTAAAGCACAATCCAGAATTGTGCCAGAAACATTTGCAAATAGATTTTGTAATGTATACATGGCAAAGTATATATTTCAAAATAAAATGTTTAACTTGTGAATATTCTGAATATTCTGTGATACATATCTCTTTGAAAAATACTTGCACACAATGGAAATGAATTCCTAGTAGTTCCTTGTCTGTATTGGTATTTTGTATCTATTTCAAATGCTTCTGATTAATGGCAGAAGTAGACAAACCAGTGTAGATAAATTTGGAATTATAGGTTGCATAAACACAGCTTGCATAGCCAATAATAAAGGATTATGGGAAATACTGTCCAAAACACCTGAATGGTAACTAGTTGCCTATCTTTGGTTTATAGACTTAAAAAATTACATATGTATAAAATTATATACATGTAATCAGAAAGATGTATTGTAATAATTGACAGGGTCCAACATGCCTAAGAAAATGGAAAGTGGATTTAAAACTATAGGGAAAAATACAACATTTCCATCAACCTCAGATCCTCTTAAAAATTGCAATGATTTAAATATATCAAAACTATAAAGGCAGAATTTCCTTCAAAAGCCTCAAATTTTGGGAACAGACATAGGGAAATACCCCAGGACTGATTCCTTTTGATGTGCAAATGCTGGGAAATGGGAAGATGCTATTATCTGAGTAATTTTTAGATAAGTTTGGAATGATGATTTTCCCCTGGACCCCTCTATGGACCAGGTTACATCAGAAAAGGGATATTTATCCTGGTATCACTGTTCCTTGGGCCAAGTGGCTGTTGAAGTTTCTTAGCCATTTCTCTCATTCCCAGTTTTATTCTACATGGGAAAAAGAGCAGAGAAGTGAACTCAGGCATGCTTTATGAACCTGTGAGTTCTGATCACTCTACTCAGTCAGCCCATGAAGCAAATGAGCCATGGGCCTGAGGTAGTGGATGAACTGATCTCCTCTTCCCTCACCCTACTGAGGGCATAGGTTTTGAAGCAGGGGAACAGCTTGCAGGATGAGAAGGGACCTCAACAGGATATCTAGCAGGCTAATCAGCAAATTTGGACTGCAGCCTAGAAACTCCCCAACCCTGAAACAGATAAGTTAAATATATAATGAATTTTTCAAATGATTTTCCAGTTTTGTCACATTAAGGCAACATTTGTCTTACTTGAATTTGTTTCTCTCTTCACGCTCTATCCTTTGCAGCCTTTCCTCTCTCTCTTGTCGTCGTCTCTCTCTTTCAGCCGCCAAGGACTCTTGGTGCTGTCGATAAGATGATGTAAGGAGACCACCCAATGATGGCCTACAGGGCAAGGAAATAACGCCATTTACTATTTTTCAATATAGTAATTGCCAGTCAGTACACTTTGTTTCTAATCTAATGAATTGTATTAATTTAATTATGCACACTACACCTCATACACTCAGCAAATGAGAAATGAAAAATGTATGCGCCAGGATTGACACTTCCACAAATAAAATTAACCCCTCTATAAATGCAGAAAAACTTCAGTGGGATTATGATACATTCATTTGAAATTATTGGGGCTGGAGATACTACTTCAGGGGGCATATAATGCATTCATTTACAAGTAGCAATCATTCAAGTTTGTGAGGAAAAGTTCTAGATAGTTTTCACCATAAGATGAAATTTAGCATGTAGAATATTTCTCATATAGAAGCCATCCATTCTTATGTTTTCTCTGATAACTGAAACAATGAGACATCAGTGGCCTGAGGTGGAATGGAGCCTTAGCTTCCATTTTGGGCTAAGGTGTTCCCCATAAAGAAACACTAGTAAAGACTGCTGTCCCTCAGCCCTCAATATGCACACTGTTAACATTGTGGCTGATAATGGTAGGATACATTTAAAGATCAGAAAGTGTATTTCCATCCTCATTCATTAGAACTCAGATCTCAAACACAGGGCTCATGACCATAACTGTACCTTCAGACTTCTGCTCTGCTGACTACCAAGCTACTCGTCACTCTGATATTTTTTGACAGTAATATAAAGAAAAGAATAACTGGGATGGTACAAGCAACATACCGTATTTTTCAGCATATAAGATGCCCCTATGTATAAGACCCCACCCCACTTTTGTAACCCAAAATTAAGAAATCTAAGTGGGGCTTAGCAAGTGGAGGAGGAAAGCTGGGATCAAAGCGCTGCAGGATCACTTTGATCCCTGCTTTCTCCCTCCACTTTCTTGTGAAGAAAGTGGAGATGGAAAGCAAGGATCAAAGTACAGTGGTGCGTCGCATAGCGATCACTCCGTATAGCGACAAAATCGCTTAGCAACGCTGTTTTTGTGATCGCAAAAGCAATCGCTTTGCGATGGTCCCTATGGGGAAATTTTGTTTTGTGATGATCGCAGGGAAGCGATCATCGCAAAGCCCCCATTTTCGGCCAGCTGATCGGCGGTTTCAAAATGGCTGCCGGGTAAACAAAATGGGCGCCCGCTGTTTTCAGATATGGATTCCTCGCTTTAGAGGCACCGAAAATGGCAGCGCTATGGAGGATCTTTGCTTAAAGGTGAGCTTTAAGCCCATAGGAATGCATTAATCGCATTTTAATGCATTTCTATGGGCTTTTTATTTTCGCTTAGTGATGTTATCACTTAGCAGCAATTTTTTCTGCACGAATTAACATTGCTAAGCGATGTACCACTATACTGAAAGCAGGGATCAAAGCGCTGAAAGCACGGCTTAGCAAGTGGAGGTGGGAAAGCAGGGATCAAAGTGCTGAAAGCAGGGCTTAGCAAGTGGAGGCGGGAAAGCAGGGATCAAAGTGATCCTGTGGTGCTTTGATCCCATCTTCCCCTCCTTACTTACATAAGACGAACCTCAATTTTTAGTCTAAAGATTTTAGACAAAAGTATCATCTTATACATGGGAAAATAAGGTACTCTCCTTCATCACCATCCATGGCCAGGGGTCCAAGATAATCTTATAAAATAGACAAACAGTGCGGGGGAGAGCAGATGCAAACTAGCACTTCACCTTGAAACATTCCCAGCTGTCTAAAACAAGAGAAATTCTGAGCTGTGGACTGGGGCGGGGTAGCATCCCTGGAGGTGAGTGGGAGTATTTCTCTGTGTTGGTACTTCATGTGTGTATGTTTTTCTTGTTTTTTAAAAATATTTTATTTAGTATGGTATGTGCTTTCGCTTGTTTGTTTGTACGGAGGGATTGTGTTTGTCTGGTGTTTTGTGGATTTCCTAGTCCTTTTCTGAGTAAGGTCATGGTGGGTTTGTTACTCATTTTTAAATGTATATCGCAAAGTTCACACCAAATGAAACTCAAACTGTCTAACAATGGGAAAACTAAGAAAAAATTCTGTTAGAGGTTAAAAGCACAACTAGAAACAACACAAGTCAGTACAGACACAACTGTTCCCCTTCCAGGTATAATCCAATTTGGATACCAAAGCTCTCAATAAAGAGGCCCTTCCTTGTCAATGAAAGGAAAACAGAGAGGGTGGGTTGCCTAGCCTCCCTTAAGAGCAAATTCTACAACTTGGGAGGAGTCATAAAAAAGTTCTTTGTCATGTCCCCACCACACTTATTGCTAAGGACATCAGTATCAAGAGACACCCCCCCACACACACAGACACATCTTACAAGCTGGGCAGGCACAGATTGCCAAGGACATCAGTATAAAGACACGCACGCACACCCAGCACACACACATCTTAAAAGCTGGGCAGGCACAGAAGGGGGAACACAATCTTTCAAACAGCCTTGTTGTAATGGGTTTAAAAGTTGATAACAATCAGCAACAAGCTCTACAGGAATGGAAGTGCCCCTGTTGAATGCCAGGTTGGTGAATGGGGAAACAACGGCTATACAGAACTTGATCCAGGATAGGTAGACCAACCTGGCCTGTAACCAGGCATCCCGGCATCCTGAAGTCAGAGGAAGTAATGTCTCTTACCTCTTCCCACCAGGCTTTCCTGCATAACAGCAGTGAGCTGTAGGTCATGGGGATGTGGAATTACAGTGTTGAACATGATTCCATTCCTCTCATTAGGTGTCAGAATACACATTCTGCCAAGTTTGAATGTATCTCTGTAACTGAGTCCCTGGGATAGGAGAAAGATTTCCACCAATCCTGCTACACAACAGTATCCCTTCCTGAGCTAGCCAGGACAGCATTGGGAGCTGTGTTGTAATCCTCTGGACTTGACACACAAGAGGGGCTTTAGCAACCATAGCAACATTGTCTTGACAGAAGTAGGACATCATGGCTTCCATGGCTACCATTGTCCTGCCTCAAGTAGTATCTTACCCCACTCAATTGGTAGGCCACAATATGCACATGGTTTTCTGTGCTGGGTGGGAAGACGGTAATTTGGGTGTGAAGGAATTCTCTGTACTTTGTTGTTGTGGACAAATCACTTCTATGGGGCAATATGGGACTAAAACCTTTGCAAAGGTGGGGGTCAGTTTACAATGGTCTGCTTCTGGAGAGTGATGGGCCTTGGTGGCTCTTGAGTTTCTTCTTGTCTCTCAACTAGAGATGTCCACCAACTAGCATGACCATTCCTCAGGATCCCCTCCAACAGAATGAAGCCAGCTCTCGTCTATTCAAACCAGTTATCACGGCTTTTGAGGGAACCGTTAGTGACTAAACGATGGTGTGGGTGGCATATAAGTTAAATAAACAAACAAACAAACAAACAAACAAACAAATAAATAAATGTCACAATGTGACTTAAGTCTGACTTGACAACGAGTCTTGTGACTGGTAAATCCCATGGTTTCTTTAAATAGCAAAGGCTAAATAAGTGAAACAATGAATTAATGAACCCATTACAACAATGAATTACATTTTAACCTCTCCAATGCTAAAAAAACCCTCAACATTATTTCACATTTGTGCTAATCAATATTAACAGCTTCACTTTCAAACCTAAAATTCCAAGCTGTGCCAGAGACCAAAGACATAATTGTAAAATGGCTCTAGAAACACGTCCAGCTCTGTTAGGAGAGCTTAATTCTGTGTAGCCTACCATGCACTATACTTTATAATATCTTCTGTTACAGCATCCTACATTGTTTCTCAAATACCTCCTAAAGTTTACATCAAGACCTTACTTTCCCTCTCCCTCTCCTTCCTTCTTTCTTGTGGCAGACACAAAATAAGCAGGGATGATTTGCCACCTTTGATGCTGTGTAAATTTCTCTCATCTTATGCCTTTAAAAAGATCTATTTATATATCTCTTAGTGTAATAAAAGATTTGTTGTGCCAAATAGTGTGGCATATAGTAGTACAGAAAGGGTTATTTCTCCCTATCTTCATCAGTTATCTATCTGTCAAAATTACCTCACGCTTGCATCAGTTGGTAATTCTTTTCTCTCATCACTGAATGCTGGTAGGAAAACTGCTGCACCTATATGATTTGTCCCATTGACCTAACCGGCTTGAAAATGTAACTCCTAATTGAAAAACAGGAGCAACTCAATTCTCAATGTTTACCTTATTTACTGCTTATTCACAACATCTAAATTATCCAAATATTTCCAGCATCCTCCCTAGATTTTCACCAAGAAGCAAGGCAAAAGTCTTGATTTTTATAAAGAGAAATGAATAGCCATTTTTATCTTTTTAGTTTCTTGTCAAAACATTTTCCTTAAGCTTTCCATATAAGGTGAGGAGAAGGGGGCAGTTCTGTTATTGGCAACCTTAGCTTCTAATAATATAAAATGGTTGTGTCAAGGCTGTTCAACCAAACCAAGCAACAAGGTAATTAGAATAACATACAGTACTACAGGGCTGTTTCAGTATTTGGTGCTCTTTATTAGTAATTTCTTCTAAAAATAAGAATGTTAGAAGTGTTTTTGTGGAGACTAGGGTATCTGAGAGGATCAAGGAAGTAAAAAGAAAAAAACACACACCTCAAGATGATGGAAAATTTAAAAGCCTGTCATGTTTGCTACAAGTCTATTTGGTCCCTGCTCCAGAATTTATACCTTTGGGGAAGGTTCTGCCCTGCCTTGGGCATGATCAGGAAAAAACCTTCTCTGAAAACAAAATAATGTACAACTATAGCATTGCCAGATGTATAAAACCTAATTTAAAAAGGATAGGATGAGACTAGGATTGATTCTGGACAATGTAATGCTGCCTCCTACTAACCACTCTATTATAATCAAAGTGTTTACAGACTGGTTAGTTTATCGTCTGTTCCAGTATCTCTCCTAATACTGAAATCTGACTGAATGATCTGTGGTTTTCTGGATGCTTTTTTTACTCTGTTTTTGAACAGTGTGGCAAGATTTTCCTTGATTCCAGTCTTGTGGGATCTCATTTGTCCTCTGAGATTTCTGGAAGATTCTGGTATGCAGGATCCCACTGCCCATTTGAAAAAATAGAACCCACAGAGAACAATTGGTGAGAATAATTTTGCTATGGTAGGGAGGAGACAATAGAAGATTTTGGGCTTATAACGGTGGGATGTGATTTTTTTAAAAAAATCTCTAATGTAAGATCTATGACATATAATGTAATGTTCTTTATGTTTATAATTTGTCAGACTAATTCCTAGTGTTCTTCACACAGAAACATGTTTCCTCAGGTTACAGGCTAAACAAAGCATGGTTTTAACTACATAATCTTAACTGATTTTGTTGATTTATTTGATAAGCAAATAAGCAAAGATTTAGGAAAACAGAATGGGATGACAGGAAAATATGTGTAAGTGTAAGAAACAGGAATGTTTAAAGAAAGAGAACTGTACTTCATACAAACACAAGAAAATAAATTAATTAGTATTCTATAGAAAGGAAGAACAATTAAGGAAGAATAAGGAACCGAGTATAAGCACCCACCTAGAAGACTGGAAATTAAAAGGATCAAAGGATTCACAAAATCTGTTCACATGCAGGGATTCCAAAGGACTACAGGAGAAAGGAAGGAAGAACTGTTACTATGTACATGCATAGTATGTAATTTTTAAAAAAAAAGATACAATGGGCAGCTAAGGAAGGTAAGTTGTTCACATTCTTGTGACTGGTTTCACTACAGTTGTTACAATTTATTAAAAAATGTAGGTCAAGAATATTTAGCTCAGAAATAAATTTGTGGAAGACATGAAATAAGTAAGATGTTAAGCAAGAGTGAAGCTTACTATGTACATGCATAGTATGTAATTTTTAAAAAAAAAGATACAATGGGCAGCTAAGGAAGGTAAGTTGTTCACATTCTTGTGACTGGTTTCACTACAGTTGTTACAATTTATTAAAAAATGTAGGTCAAGAATATTTAGCTCAGAAATAAATTTGTGGAAGACATGAAATAAGTAAGATGTTAAGCAAGAGTGAAGCAGTTAAGTTGTTACAATTTATTAAAAAATGTAGGTCAAGCATATTTAGCTCAGGAATAAATTTCTGGAAGACATGAAACAAGTAAGATGTTAAGCAAGAGTGAATCAGTTAAGTTTTTTTATTATACGGTCATAGACCCGAAAAGAGTGAAGCAGAAATGGGGAACTATGAGTGACTGTAAATAATATTGATAAGGATAAAAGGAGGGTCGAACTTAATTTTTCTAACATTTCTTTTTCTACAGGGAGCAGTAAACTGCAAAAACAGGCTCCTCCCATCTATAATCACACATGGAACAGACCATAAAGAATTTTAACATGTGTTGAATTGTTTCGTAAACTGCAAAAACAGGCTCCTCCCATCTATAATCACACATGGAACAGACCAGAAATAATTTTAGCATGTGTTGAATTGTTTGTTTTTCTCTCTTGAATGCACAGGCGCCCCCTTGCGTACTGAAGAATATTCTCTGCACTTGGGAAAGTAATCTCTATCACCCAGAGATGGGCAGGCTGACCCAACCAGAGGGTTACAAGAACAGGAGTGAGCAAAATGTGGCCTCACCAAAAGCTTCTCATGCTTTTGGTGAGGCCTTCATCCTCTGCCCCCCCATACTAATTTTTTCCTAGTGTGAAAAAGCTCGGTGGCTTCCTTGTAGCCTCCAGCAGATGTCATTGGCAATTTATTATTATTTCATGTGAAAGAGCATGCAACCATGCTATGCACAGCCCGAGAAAATCATGATGTGGCTGCCATGTTTCTCCTCAAAGTCTGGCCCAATTCGTTCTCTCCAGAAATTATTTTCTGTGTGTTCATTAAAATGAATGGAAGCGGACAGTGTTTTCTGGCACAGCTCTAAGCGTCAGAATAGCCCTTGATTTCTGCACATTTGGCTCCCAGTTGCATGGAAGGCTCTTGCGCATGCAGATATTTGAATGAAGGCTCTTTCTTTAGAATTTCAACAAACCCAGCAAAAGTAGCCACCCACTTCTCTCATTCATTGAACAGTAATCACTGTTTATCATACTTCGCAATGCGGGTTTTCCCCATTGCGAAGATCGGGTATGTTTCCATATAGCGATCCCGAAAAAGGGATCGCTATACGGAAACATCGCTATACGGTGCACTCGTTAAGCGAGGCACCACTGTAATCACTGTTTATCATATTGGATAGTAATCTCTGAAGAAGGTGCCTACACTCTTGAGTCTCATGCTATGTTTGCATCCACAGAATGTAAAAATGTACAAAGTGGACTTGTCAACGAAAGCTCACATTAAAATATAGCAGTTAGTCTTTAAAGAGCCCCAACATTTTTGTTTCTTTATTTTTCTTTTGTTTGATATAAATGGTCATTTTAATTTTTCTTCATAAAAAGAACATTTTGGTTAGGAAAATTCATGTCAACATGAATTGTAAAAAAATATGCTTGTAATGTTATTGTGTTGCTTTAACTTATTGTGAGCCTCCTTGAGTCCCCATGAGGAGAAAAATGGCTTGCTTGCTCATAAAACAATTGGCTTAGACCCTATTGTTTACAGGACAAAGTCCCTGAACTACTCCCTATATGCTTAAGTTCAAATATGGCCTATAGTGCTACCACATGTTGCATACCATAATCATCATCGCCATCTGCATCATCATGTGCCATCAAGTCAATTCTGATAGCAACCCTTTTCAGGGTTTTCCAGGTAGATAATACTCAGAAGTGGTTTACCATTCCCTTCTTCTGGAGACACCTTGGGACTGTGCAGATTGCCCAAGGCCACACAGACTGGATCTACTGGCAGGAGGAACAGCAGGGAATCAAACTCCCAACTTCTGGCTTCACAGCCTGATACCCAAACCACTCAGCTGTCTAGCTACACATTGCACACCATGGTACTATACAGGCCATCTTCAAGAGCATAGAAATCTGTGTACAGTGGTGCCCCGCTTAACGATTACCCCGCTTAACGATGAAATCACTTCACGACGATGTTTTTGCAATCACTTTTGCGATTGCAAAACGATGTTTGGATAGGAAAAAACTGCTTTACGACGATCGGTTCCCTGCTTCGGGAGCCAATTTTTCACTTTATGATGATCTAAAAACAGCTGATTGTCGGGTTTCAAAATGGCCGCCCACTGTGCAAAATGGCTCCCTGCTGTTTTCAGGACTGATTTTTCACTTAACAGGCACCGGAAAATGGCTGCCCTATGGAGGATCTTCGCTGCACAATCAAGTATTTCGCCCATTGGAACGCATTAACTGGTTTTTAATGCGTTTCAATGGGTTCCCCCTCCCGCTTGATGACGATTTCGTTCTACAGTGATTTTGCTGGAACGGATTATTGTTGTCAAGCGGGGCACCACTGTATATATGGCAGAATTTTATTAGTGGTGACAGCCCAGTTATGGAACTCAATTTCATCCAAGAGCTGGTTGTCCCCCATAGGTTTACCAATCAGGCACAACTTAAAGACCTAAATTTTGTACAATCTTTCAACAAAGAAACATTTTTTTCTGTCTTTGCTGTTTGTTTCCACTCCTCTTACAGCACTTTAACAGTCATTTGTAACTTATAGTTTTAGATATTTGTAATTTTAGAGATCTGTAACTCACAATATTATGCACCTTTATTTTTAACTATGTTTACCTAATTTTTTTACAATCTTTCAACAAAGAAACATTTTTTTCTGTCTTTGATTGCTGTTTGTTTCCACTCCTCTTACAGCATTTTAACAGTCATTTGTAACTTATACTTTTAGATATTTGTAATTTTAGAGATCTGTAACTCACGATATTATGCATCTTTATTTTTAACTATGTTTTTAGTAGTTGTTTAATCACCTTGAATCCTTATGAGGACAAATGGTTAGAAACTGAATAAATCACACACACACCCCGAACTTCACTGACTCCTGAAATGGCTCCTGAAAGTTTTTGGTTGAATACATTTAGGATGATATGTACAGTAAATGTTAAATTCAACATGTGAACTGTGAGTGACAAGGCTGGTTGCTTAGGAGCTGAATGTCTTCTTAGGTTATAGTTTGGAGATAAAACAGGAAAAGTTATGATAGTACAAATCCAAGGAATGAGCTCCCCCTAAAGTGTTTTCATGATAACAATTGATATAAAATATTTATCCAACACTATAATTCAGTTATATTGCAAACTGTATTATGAAACTTCAAGGAAGTGCTACCTGTATTCCCTCATCCCTTCTATTTCCTTTTCTTTCACAAACGTTGGAGGCTCTTCAATATCATATGAGAAGAGATGGAAAGGGCTATGTGGTACATATGGTAATTTTTCAACCGTTGGTGACACTTTTGGAGTAATGGATGATATATTTTGGGAAGAGCTGATGGATGCAGATGAAGAAGGCGATGAATGAAGCGAACAATGTTGTGAAGCAAATGAATCAGGCACAGAGGAAGATGAGCTCCTGGATGGACTCTGTCTCCTAAAGCTCATGGGAGCCCTCTCCTCCTGAGAAAGTACACTTGAGGTGGCTGGTGTCTGAGCATTCTTTGAGACATGTTCAAATTCCTGTACTTCTGGAAGCCCACTGGATAGAAGAAGCAGGTAGGAAGGGAAATGAGGAAAGGCAGAATAGGATAGAGAAGAAAACGGTATTACTGAAAGCATCCCAACAGGTGAAAGCAAGTAACAGTATTATGCTTTATCCATCCGAAATGAAAAGGAGGATAGAGAGGATTTGGGGCTGACCTACATGCCTGCAGGTTTATCTCTCTGAAAAGCAGCAGAGAACTTTAAAGAGTAGATCCCTTAAGCAAGAGAGAGGATTTGGGGCTGACCTACATGCCTGTTGGTTTATCTCTCTGTACTCTGAAAAGCAGTAGAGAACTTTAAAGAGTAGCTCCCTTAAACAAGGTAGTCTTCTGGGATTATATTTTTGGAGGCAGCTCATTGGGTGTCTCACCCTCTTTTCTGACAACTGAAGAATGGGAATTTTAGGATGTTGAGGGGAGCTCTCCACAAGCTCACCACAAAGGGAGAAAGGTGGGATAAAAATCAATCAACCAATCAAATAAATAAACAAACAAACAAATACTGGCCCTATTGTTTCATTTTTTAAAAAGGGTACCTGTAGAAATGGCAGCTTTAATACTTTGTTATAACAATGCTATAATCGCAGATGGCAATTTATGAAAATGGGTTGTAAGCTATTACAAAAGAAAACACTGTAGTTATGTATTTGGAATTCTAATAACTTTTGTTCATCAAATTATTATCTGGATTAATTAGTAATAACATCTATTTTATACATTACAAAACAGTAATTACAATTAATCCACTGATTAAAGCGTATTCACTCTCTTGATATATTTATTTGAGCTACGATGCCATTTCTGACTTGAATAAAAAGGAATTTTAAGGGAAAAACTAAAGCTAGACCCAGGAGAAGCATTTGTGCATCTGGAATACACAAATACTATAAACATATGATGTCTTTTCTACAATAAACATTTAATACAATTTTAGTGAGGCATATTAGTATATTAGGCAAATATTTTGTCCTTCAAAGGCCCAAAGAGGTGGGACAGACATCAAATAAAAAATAAAATCCAATTGGTATTGTACAATATAAGTAAGCACTTGTGTAAGCAAGATGGATGGTGCTGCCAGCCACTTGTCCTACTCCTCAGTTTTGCCAGGTTAGGGTGAAGTTGCCCCATTAACAAGGAGCAATGAGGGAAAAATCTGGCCAGCGAGCAATGAAGACTGCATGATTGCCCTTTTGGTGAAGTTGCCCCATTAACAAGGAGCAATAAGGGAAAAATCTGGCCATGCATGGCCTTCCCCAGTATGACTTTGGCTAAAATATTTAAAAGAACAGGTAAGGTTCTGCTACTGTCCTGCTGCTGGTTGTCCAACAGTAGTACTGCAAAGAAAATAAATAAAAGCTAAATGGAATCCAATTAAAAGGAGGAAAAAGGAAACGCCTCCCCACTTAGTTGGCATAATACTATAAAACTGTAGTTATTCTTTTACCATCACAAATTCTTCCTCCTTCATCCCCATAGGATTGCTCAGAAAAGCTCCAGAAGTGAAGTGACTACCCAGTAAATATTTGAAACATATCTTTGAAAAACTGGATTCTCATGAGTCTTAATATTTTTTTCTACATTGTTGTTTTTGTTTAATCGTTAAATGAGTACAATTGTACGGTAGTTGGAGAATTCTTTGGCACTCCCCTTCTTTGGGATTGGGATGTAGACTGATCTTTTCCAGTCCTCTGGCCACGGTTGAGTTTTCCAAACTTGTTGGCATATTGAGTGTAGCACCTTAACAGCGTCATCTTTTAAGATTTTAAATAGTTCCACTGGAATGCCATCACCTCCACTGGCCTTGTTGTTAGCCAAGCTTTCTCAGGCCCACTTGACGTCACTCTCCAGGATGTCTGGCTCAAGGTCAGCAACCACACTATCTGGATTGTCCGGGACGTCCAGATCTTTCTGGTATAACTCCTCTGTGTATTCTTGCCACCTCTTCTTGATGTCTTCTGCTTCTCTTAGGTCCCTACCATTTTTGTCCTTTATCATGTCCATCTTTGCACAAAATGTTCCTTTAATATCTCCAGTTTTTTTGAACAGATCTCTGGTTTTTCCCTTTCTGTTATTTTCCTCTATTTCTTTGCAGTGTTTGTTTAAAAAAGGCCCTCTTGTATCTTCTTGCTATTCTTTGGAAGTCTGCATTTCATTTTCTGTAACTTTCCCTATCTCCCTTGTATTTTGTTTCCCTTCTCTTCTCTGCTATTTGTAAGGCCACTTAGCTTTCTTGCATTTCCTTTTCTTTGGAATGGTTTTTGTTGCTGCCTCCTGTACAATATCCAAAGTTCTTCAGGCACTCTGTCCGCCAAATCTAGTTCCTTAAATCTGTTCTTCACTTCCACTGTGTATTCATAAGGGATTTGGTTTAGATTATACCTGAGTAGCCCAGTGGTTTTTCCTACTTTTTTTTAGTTTAAGCTTGAGTTTTGCTATAAGAAGCTGATGATCAGAGCCACAATCAGCTCCAGGTCTTCTTTTTGCTGACTTTATAGAGCTTCTCCATCTTTGGCTGTAGAGAATATAATTAATCTGATTTTAGTACTGCCCATCTGGAGATGCCTATGTATAGAGTCATCTCTTGTGTTGTTGGAAAAGAGTGTTTGCGATGACCAGCTTGTTCTCTTGACAAAACTCTATTAGCCTTTGTCCTTCTTCATATTGAAATCCAAGGCCAAACTTAGCCGTTGTTCCTTTTATCTCTTGACTCCTTACTTTAGCATTCCAATCCATCTTTCTTTGGTGTCAGTTCTAGAAGGTGTTGTAAGTGTTCATAGAATTGGTCAATTTCAGCCTCTTCAGCATCGGTGGCTGGTGCATAAACCTGGATTACTGTGATGTTGAAAGGTTTGCCTTGGATTCATATTGAAATCATTCTATCATTTTTGAGATTATATCCCAGTACAGCTTTTCCCACTCTTTTGTTGACTATGAAGGCGACTCCATTTCTTCTATGGGATTCTTGCCCACAATAGTAGAGATGATAATGGTCTGAATTGAATTTGCCCATTCCTGTCCATTTTAGTTCACTGATGCCCAGGATGTTAATGTTTATTCTTATCTCCTCTTTGACCACATCCAGCTTCCCAAGGTTCATAGACCTTACATTCTAGGTTCCTATGCAGTATTTTTCTTTGCAGTATTGGACTTTCCTTTCACTTGCAGACACGTCTGCAGCTGAAGATCCTTTCAGCTCTGGCTCAACCACTTCATTAGCTCTGGAGCTACTTGTCCTTGTCCTCCACACTGCCTCTGCAGCATGCTGGACGCCTTCCAACCTGAAGGGCTCATCTTCCAGCCTCATATGTTTTAGCCTTTTGTTTCTGTCCATGGAGTTTTCTTGACAAAGATACTGGAGTGGCTTGCCAGTTCCTGCTCCAGGTGGATTGCGTTTAGTCAGAACTCTCCACTATGACCTGTCCGTCTTGGGTGTCCCTGCACGGCATAGCCCATAGCTTCTCTGAATTACTCAAGCCCTTTTGTCACGACAAGGCAGCAATCCATGAAAGGGTTTTTCTACATAGTTTAGAATAAATTCTTGGTTCAGTTACAGAGTTTGCTGACTGTGCAGATCATAAAGTAATTAGTGAATACACGTGAGGTCTGCAACCATAAGCTTTGTGGAGCTTTATATAAGCAATGGCAGTCAATGGCTTGACCTTGCTGTGAGGTCTCCAGTCCTAACCATACAATCTACTGTAAATACATCTTTAAACTGAAGTGCTGGAAAGCAGCCTATTTTTTCAAAGGATTAAAAAAAAACATTTTTAAAAAACTGAGTAGACCCAGACATGGTCACATTTATAGCAGACCCCCTGAAATTAATTGGGCAAGTTAGTTGGCCTCCTTAAGTTCCCCTGATTTCAGAGGTTCTACTAAACATAGATTCAAGCCAGTATATTTAAGACGAAATTATATTATGAAACTAGTATGTAGTGGAGTTTAATTCAAACAGAATTAAGGGAGAGCATATATTCTGAGGGACTGATGTTAGATATTAAAGTTAGTGAGATGTTCAGTTCATCAACTCTTGCAGATGTTCTGTAGACCTAGTACCTGGCTTTGACCTGCCTAGCAGCCTCTTCCTCCCCCTCATCCTCTGTATTAGGCTCAGTGACTGGTTGCTCCTCTTCCTCCTCTTCATATTCCTCCTCTCTAGGACCAGACCAAGGCAAAGAGGTATGCAGATGGACAGAAACACAGAACATGGAAGAAATGAGGTGAGAACCATTCTCAGCAAAATAATAAAATAAACAGAAAAACAGTAGTGGGAAGAAGGAAAGGACATAAAGGGAGAAAAATAAGTAAAGCACAAATGCACTGAAGAGATTTACTAGTAAAATAAAGTTAGCATGCTTAACTATGTATAATTAATTAAACAGACAAATATTGAAATTATCTTGATTGAAATAAACCATAATTTATTGCTGAGCTTTAACAGCTGTGTGCTGAAAGTCACTTGCAAAACAATCTGCGCAGTCAACATCCAAGCCACTGTAGGAAAACAATGTCAATGTAAGATAACAAAAATTACATTGGCTCACAAAGGAATCTCTTTCTGAGTGAGCTAATACTTGAGTGTGGAAGTATAAACAACTGATAAGAAAAATGTAAACATAACAATGAAGAAAAAAACCTCCTGAGTATCGAAATGTATTTACAACAAATTGGTACAGCATCAAGTAGTTGTGCCAGCAATCCGATATCCTGGCATTTTGCTTACCTAGCAGAACTGTACCCAAGCAAATTACTATCAAACCAGTATGTTACAGCAGCAGGTGTTCCAGGGAGAAATATAAATACGGGGAAGGAAGAGACACTTGATCTCAACAACACAGATACCAGGCGCACACACATCAGATATCAAAGAGCAGTGGTAGTTGTGGTGGTGGCAGCAGCAGCAGCAGCACAGAGGCAACACACAGGGAACATGGATTTTCCTTCAGTGGTGGTTTGGGTGAGAAAACCTAATAATTTTGTGTGTGTGTTTGAATAGGCTGAAAGTTTAAGTAATGTATTTCTATTTCTATAAATTTTTACTTTTCAAAGAGATGTGCCTTTTAAGGCTATAAGTTCCTGTATTTTTGAATTGAAATGTGATTTAAGTTCTTATCTGTAACTTTTGTGGGTAAAAGCTTATAATAATTTAACTGTATGCCATCAAGTTGATTCTGATGTATGGTGACCTTTCCAGGGTTTCTGAGGTAGTGAATACTCAAAAGTGGTTTACCATTCCCTTTTTCTGGGCATACCCTGGGACTGTGCAGCTCACCCAATGCTACATAGGCTGGCTCTTTTCCTAGAAAGCACAGTGGAGAATCGAACTCCCAACTTCTGGCTCCGCAGCCAGATGCCTAAATGACTGAGCTATCCAGGGAACTGAAACATATTTTCTTCACAAATATTTGCCACAATTCAAGTCCAATCTCTATATTTTTAAGCATTTATGCTTATAGCTTCTTTTCATAATAGTAAGAATGACTTTTATAAGATGAAGTAACAGATCCAACACATCTCAAAAAGTTAAATGTTTTAAATTATTCTTGGATTTTTGTGCATAGAAGTAATGTAAATAAATAAAACTTGTAGAAAAAGGCAAGGTGGTGTTGTCTGAATATTTTTTTAAAATTAACTCTGGTTTTTGACTGTGCCTTTTCTCCCATGGGAGTGTCTTGGTCCTCCTGCAATGCAGTGGGTAGGTTTTCTTGTGGTTCAATACAGAAGCAGCACAGGAAGATCATGTAGGTAGGAAAGGTGAGTCTAATCTCTTTTGGTTTGAGGGCTTTCGTTCTCAGAATTTAGCCTGTGGGCTCCAGATAATTATAGGACTAGAAGTCCTAAAAATATGGAAGTTTCATCCCTATAAAACATGACACTAAATTGATACACTGGACAGATTCAGATTTATGCATCAGAGTAAAAGGTGACCAAAACAAGGATTGCTTGGAATGTGTGCAAGTTTGGATGAAATTATGATGATCATGATAAGACATGAGAAAATAAATGAAAGAAAGATGAAGAAAATATTATATTAGTGTGTCAGAGATTGGTAGTTTTATTTGGAACCTGGGCATGTGTTTGGAGAAAAACATTAGAATGATAACTTTCAATGCTATTGCAACTTAGCTTTCTCTTCTTCTTTTATGGTTTATTTTTCATTTTTTCTCCATCTTGAAGAATTGCTATTTAGTGTAATAATTCCTTTTTATATTTATTGTCGTGTTATGTGTTGTAAGCCGCCTAGAGTGGTCGCAATGACCAGATAGGTGGGATATAAACAAACAAACAAACAAACAAACAAACAAATAAATAAGCTAGTTTGCTTCTTTGGGGCTTTTTTTAAAAAAAACCCTGAATGCATCATAAAATCTCAAAATCCATATACGCTATCACTAACTAAAAGATTGTATATTCTTTCCCTTCTTTTTTCACAACACTTGAAATTTTATGTAAGTAACTAATCCTGCACTATGTTCTGAAGACCAGTATCTTCTCGAAATGACCTGTTACATTTTGAAGTTTCTACACACATATGAATTACAGTGGGGTTCAATCATACAAGTTACTCAATCTTATTTTGGGGAACCAGAAGTGGAGTGGACAGTTCACTATAAAAGAAACATAATGTGCATCTGCACATACACTATTTAAGAGAAGTTTTCATTTCAGAAGAACACGGCAGAAGGGTTGGTTGATGGGGAGGAGAGTCTTACCAATCAGTAACAATGAGAATAAGTAACATGAAAAAATACCAAACAACTTACAGCTCCATTTTCTTGCACTTACTTCTCACGGAGGTCCTCAGTGCCCTGTCCATGGCTGCATATGAAGTTTGGGTTTGCCTGAGTGCAAGGGCTGGCAGGGGCTGACAAAGTGCTTTTGCCGCTTTGGACGGAATGCCTCCGACTCCTCCTACGTTCCAGCCACCTTCGTTCACTGCAGCCAAGGCTAGCCCTTCTTCGGTCTTTGCGACCGCTAGGAGGAGGTTCACCATTGTCATCCCCATCCTCGTGTCGTAGTGTCATCTAAAAAGGAAGAAAGGGAAGGTTGTTGAGGAACAATGAACACAATACCTGAAGCAAGAGTATGGTTTGTCCACACCTTGCCGAAGCACCCGGGGTTTATGTCTATTTGGAGCTACTAGTCTTAATTATGTTGTACAAGCAGAGACTTGCCATGTTTATTTTATAATCTGTTCATTCGCAGATTCTCACCACAGAACATATGCTACCTCCCCTATGATCACATCCTTGCTGATATTATTAGGGATCTTCAAGTGCATGAGAGAGCTCCTGGAATTTCCATCAGGGCTAACAAGATGAAAGTTGAACAGGAGGGTTTTAGTTTTCCTTATTCAGGCTAATGGAGATCTCAGAATTGGTGAGATGATATTAACCCCTGCTGCTGAAAACCTCCGCTCTCTTCACTACAAGTTTATATGAAAGACTTAAGGATCAGCTTGTTCTTCCCTCATATTACCATTATATACATGATATGAAGACATTGAATAATCTCTTGTACTTGTATATCAAAAGAACATAAGAACTGATCAAATCTAAATGAGATTTTTAAAAATGAATACACTGGACAATCAACATGACAACTGTATATTTGACATCTCTAAGTTGAATCTTTGTTACATGCTGGAAATTCTATTTACACTGGATGTGAAACAATCCGTTTCGAAACAAATTAACTGCAGACAAAGCATGCATCAAGGAGCACAATAAACATATGCAATTTCCTTCCCCTGAAGTATTATTAACTTTGTCCAGCATGAAGCACATTTTATTATGAACTACTTTAAACCATCTCATGTCCAAATACATGTAACATAAGCAGATGCTCTTTTTAAAAAAAGACCATTATTACATTGGGTACATTTTCCCCATACAACTTTGACTTTGAAGTAGGCCCAGGTTGTACACTGATACCTCATATATGTTGAATTGTTCCACCAAGTCCAAATCTGCTCCCTTTTTGTTCAAATGTCTCTGTGAAATATTTTCAATTCCCAGTTCTTCCAGACAGTCCACAACATCATAGAAGGAATCCTGGTCTGGTAAGCCTGCCAATGTCTGAAAGTCAAAAGGTGAATCAACTCATTACCTTTGTCCTTAAACTAATAAAACTTACATTAATTGACATTTGTCAATAATGATCTAGGTAGGTAGGTAGGTAGGTAGGTAGGTAGGGAGGGAGGGAGGGAGGGAGGGAGGGAGGAAGGAAGGGTGATAGAGAATGAACAATATTGCTATGAAAGGTAGCAGTAGGAAGAAAGAATGAAGTTCTGCTGGCTTGCAAGATCTGAGCAGAGCTGTTAATAATATGACATTTTGTAGGTCCATAACTCTCACAGTCACCACGCATCAGAAGTGACTTGATGGCACACAACACCTTTGGAGTCCCCCCCCTTTAATTACCAAACTACTGGATAGTGAACAAGATGGGTGGAATAGGCACCCAAGCTCTGTTAACATCAGGGTAGACCATCCTCAACCACAAAGCAAAAAATTGTAATTTCACACTTAAATGAATATTTGTTTTCTTTTAAAATTATATTTTAAAATAAGTTTACAACCAGACACAGAATCCCTTTCCCAGTACTAATGCCTGTTTGGCCAGGAAGGAGCTAGAAAGTTCTTCTCCTGAGAATCAGCTAATTGGGTCTAGGCTGACAGGGTCAAAAGTTCAGATTACTCCAGATCTGGAGCTGATTTCCCCTTTGAAGATTTGTGTCATGAGCCCGTTCTTAGAAATTCTGAGAGAATGCTCAGGGCTGGCACATACCTGTTCTGTGCTTCTGTAATGTAGATATACTTTGAAAATGCCTTGCAAAATTATATGCTAATTCTCTGGAGATACATGGCAAAATGTCCTGTTTCTGGAGGACTATCACTCCATTACTTTCTCTAAAGTATGCCTTTTTTTTCTTCAATGACAAACACACTTTGACTGTTTCTGTGACCTGTCACTGTCCTACAAACATTTACTTCAGAATGAGGTTGCTGGTAAGCCTGTTCCAGGCATGCTCAGTTTATAACAAAGTTACAGTTTTACTGTTTTGAAATACCTTTTTTGAGGATCAATATTTTAGCCCCTGTAGCCTGGATTCTTTCTGAATAAAAATAAAAATCAGGTGGAGCCATCTATTCTCTTTCAAGATAAGCAAGACTGGTCTTTTGATTTATTTGATCTGTTTTAAATCTAGGGACCTTTAAGGTCACTTGTTTCTGCACAGGGGGAAACAGCTTAACTTTTTAAAAAAAGCATAATTTGAAAACCTTTTACCCAAACATCCCCATATTTTGGCAAAGCTCAACAGCAAATGGTGTACTATATCTGAGGAAAATTTGGTGCTGATCTGAAGTCCAGTTTCAAAGTTATAAGGTTTTGTTTGGGCTGCCTCATTTTTAGAATTGCTTTGTAGAATGTTGGTTTGCTCTACTGCAGAATAACATAATTGCACTCTCATGTAGTGATAATATAGAAAGGTCACTACACATGGTGCCACAGATTATTATTATTCCAAGTTACAATGGGAGAAGAGCTCTTAGGCCTGATCAGTGATTGTTTGAAATAATTACAAATTCAGGGGATTTTTTTGAAATGGAGGGTAATCCAGGCCTGATCAGTGATTGTTTGAAATAATTCCAAATTCAGGATCCTTTCTCTAATCAGGGAGCTAGCAATATTGCGGGGGGAATAATTATTGGTACAAATGGAATTTGTTTACTTTACATCTGCTTCTAGCCATATTAGTGAGATGAAGGAAGAATGAAGTTTTCATTTTAAGTGTGATCTTATTAAGCTATCGTTCATGCATATTGAGAGTTCACTTTCAACCAGGAGGTTGTGTAATTTCAATCTCTAACTGTGTGAAAAATCAGTACACAGTAAAGTAAATTCAATGGAAAAAAACAAAAGAACAAAAAACAACTAAAACAATTTTGTGACTCTCTTTGTGTGCGTGTGTGACAGAGAAAGAGAAAAAGATTTCGTTAGGATTTGTAGCAGTAACATGAAATTATATATTTGAACTTGATGTGGTTGAAATAAAATTGCACAGCATGAAAAGCTAAACAAGGCACATATTCCTGAGAGACCAAGTGAACTAGCAAGGTCCAATGTTTTCTAAATGGAAATGTTAAATATGCATTACATCTGCTGTTGCTTGAAGTATTCTGATGCTTCAAAATCTTAATGTTTCCTTTGATATAAAATGACCTGATTCATGCCTCATCTACTAATGTGGAGATCTGAATTTAATAATCTATTAGATTTGGCAACTTATTGAATATTGTGATATTGTTCTTACCAGTTACACAATAAAAATATGCATTTAAGTATCTCCTGTGAGACCAATTAGGGCATCCTCCAGTCTCGAGAGATTATGGTAAAGTGCTCTGTATGGAGGACTTGGAACAGTGTCTAGTGTGGCTGAGAAGGCCAATTCGAGAGTGACAATCCCTTCCACACGGAAGACAAATACAATATGTACCCCGTCAAGCTCCCTGATTTTGGTGCTTCCGTGACTGCCTTTCTGCCTCGGCCTGCTGGACAAGGGTCATATACAAATACATATTTGGTGAGAAATATGCATTTAAATACATGAAAGAAACGCCTATGAGAACATGTATGAAAATAGGCATTAAGGATGGCTTTTTAAAAACTGTAGATTACTGCAGAAATAGAATAGATGAAATTATGGGGGGAAGCATGTGAAAATGACATGAATCTGAAACAGGCATAGGCACTCATAGGCTGAGATTACATGGAGGAAATTCAGCAGACTTGCCGCAGTTTATTAAGTTGGTGTCATTGCTACAATGAAGATAGAGCATATATATGACTTGGAATCTATAGCTATCTAGTGAGGCTACAAAAAGTTATCAATAAACAATTACTAAACATAAAACTATGGTATTTTTTCTGTGTTTCTTTTAAAACACAACCCTGTCATGACTCTTCATGTAATACTCTTTATTTGTCTATGCTAAATGGCAGCATCAAAAATATCTCAGATATACACCATAAAGTGTGGTATGAAGCCATCACCCCCTTTCCATGAAGCTACATATATGGTTGTAAGGTTAAGAACCACTGTTTTAAAACACAACCCTGTCTTGACTCTTCATATAATACTCTTTATTTGTCCATGCTAAATGGGAGCATCAAAAAATATCTCAGATATACACTATAAAGTGTAGTATGAAGCCATCACCACCTTTCCATGAAGCTATATATATGGTTGCAGATGATAACTCAGAAAGTGATACAGAGTATAGCATACTGCTCTCTTGATGCCATTACATCCATGGAGTTAAACTGATATAATTTATACAGTAGGCTTATATTTCAGAATTTGTGTAGGCATGGCTGCGCGTGCTATGTTTGCTTAAGAAAAGCTGGTACTGAATAAACCAAATCTGAAGCAAGGACTTTCCTTCCATGCAAACGATGAACCAGGGCCAAGAAATATCAGATGGTTTTCTCAAAGGCAAGTGGCACTGTGTTACCTACAGTGATGGAATCTGTTGATAGCCAAGTTGAAAGTGGTCCATCACACTCCTCCTGTAAAAATCTCCAGACACTATCAGCTATTTTAGTCTTTAAGTCTACCAGCCTCATAGAGAAAGCCTTTAAACAGGATGAGGGAAAGGATGGGTAGGTGTGACTGCAGGTCATTCTACTTCCAAATCCTCAAAAGTGTTGTGTAAGCGCAGAGATCCCAAGAAGTTTCACATCTCCACATTCCATGTGACAGATGTAGGAATAGCAACTTATCCTAGAGTAGAATGAGGGTGCAGTGGGGAGGGAATATCTTGGGAATTAAAGAACTGGAGGTATTCACCAGGATTCTGTAGAATAAGGGGCTGTTAAGAATTACTCTGTGTGTGGGGCAGGAGAAAAATCATTTGTTACATTCTTCAATTTTTAAGCAAGCATTTAATTGGAAATTTAAGGGAAGAGTTTACCCCACCCCCCAAATTTTCAGGAAATTTTGGAAATGAATTCAAATTTGAATGAATCCATAGGAAACTGAATCACAGAGCTGACTATACAAATCTCCAGTGAAAACGAACCTTGTTTACTAAAGTCATCGCATAAACTAGAAGTTCTGTATCAATGCCATCCTTTTCCTCCAGGATCTCCATGATGTTGGACCATGGCTTGAGGTCTAAAAGGGAAGGAAGAACTTTTAGGAAATTGGATCCACATGATTACAAAAAACAGGATTCATTTCCATTAGGTACCTGCAAGAAGGCAAATGTTAGCCTTTAGATAGCTGTTATAATGTTAGCCAGAAGTACTGAAGGCGGATTTACTTTTTCCATTGTTCTCAAACCATCTCAGGTACCAGCTTTTAAAACATCATATAGAAGGTTACAACAGCTGAATTTTAAAATATTCTAGAGATCCATATTTTATAACATTCAACATTTTAAGCATTCCTTCATTTTTCAGAAAAATCAAACTTCAGGAGTCTCAGGACAGCAAGGACAGCAAGATGAAACAAGAAGTTATGAAATAAGAAATTATTGCTTCCCTCTACTAGATAGATTGTTTTTATAGAATCATAGAATAATGAAGTTGGAGGGGGGCCTCCTCTGTACAACAGCCTTTCAAATATTTCTTTTCTCAAAGCCGAAGATGCTTAATTTTTTCAATCTTTCCTCATAAGGCTTGGTTTCCAGTCCCCTGATCATACTTCTTGCCATACTTGTTCCAGTTTGTTGGCATCCTTCTTAATGTGCAGTGTCCAGAGCTGGACACAGTACTCAAGATGAGGTTTAACCAGTGCTAAATAGAGGGGAACTAGTACCTCACTATACTTCTGTTAATGTATCCTAAAATAGCCTTTTTCCTTTTTTGTAGCCATAGCACACTGTTGGCTCATATTCAGCTTGTGATCTACGATGATTCCAAGGTCCTCCTCACTCGTAGTATTGCTGAGCCAGGTATCCCCCATCCTGTAACTCTGCATTTGGTTTGTTTTCTGAGGTGTAGTACTTTGCAGTTATCCATGTTGAATTTCATTCTGTTGTTTTCAGCCAAGTGCTCCAGCCTATCCAGGTCATTTTGAATTTTGTTTCTGTCTTCCAAGGTATTAGTTATTACTTCAAACCATGTTGCATACCTCCTATCACTCCCTCATAGTTGACTCATGGGGCCCAACATTTCAACCCCTTCTTCCGTCATGAGGTGCTTATGCACTTCGTCATTCTTAACTGTCTCGGATAGCACAGCTATACACTATAGCCTTACCAGTCCAATGTATATTGTCCCCTTGTGATACAAAAGGTAAATATCACTAATACGTGTTATTTCTTACTCATAGCTTTTGTTACCCATAGCCATTCATTCATTCATTCATTCATTCATTCATTCATTCATTCATTCATTCATTCATTCATTCATTCATTCATTCATTCATTCATTCATTCATTCATTCATTCATGTGACTTGCTTGCAAAACAATGGCAAAAAAGGAATTTCAGTTTCTGTGCTTTTTTAATATGATGATTGCAGCCTTTAGTCTGTAAAATTAGACAGAATTATGTCTTCAGAAGTATCTGATGCTACTAAAGATACAACCTTGGTTAACTGGTGTGAGGAAGTAAAGCAAAAACCAGTCAGTTCTAGAAATGTGCCATTTCATGAACCGCTCATGGTGCGTGCACCAACTGTAGTAGCCTGGCCGGGGCTTACCCACCTCCCTGAACTGCTGACCCCTAAGTAGTTGAGTGGGGAGACTCATCGTCCTGTTTTCTTGCTGGATTGGTCAGCAGTGCAGGGAGCCAGGGAAGTCCTGGCCTGGCTACTTCTGCAATTGGCGCAGTGCTAACGACGAGCGCCCTGCATGCCGTGAGTGGTAAGTGGACAACCTGGTTCTGGGGGGAGGGTCCAATTTGCTCAGCCACCTGTGGTGGCGATAATTCAAGATAAGATGAATAGAAATATCTCCAGCCTGAACCTCTGTTTCAGGTTGCTAGAGGTGACTGAACTGTCCCTGCCTCCTCCATTGTTGCAGTTGTGTTGGGTCAGGTGTTATTGGTGTAGAATCATCAGGAGGTTGCTGGTCCCTCCTCTACACTATAGCATCCTTTGGCCAGATGAAACACAATGAAACCAATTTTCACAGTTCAGTCTGGGATCATTCTGGCACCTCCACCCATGTCTCTCTTTCATCATCCTCTTCAACCTCCTTCTCCTCAACGGTCTGTTCCCACTAGTCCTACCCCTTTCTGCTTTCTACATTCCCCTTTATACCCTCAAGATCTCTCTCCTCCCTTCCAGATCCTTTTAACCCCTGCCTTCCCTCCCTTCTACAAGATTCCTTCCCCTTCAGAAAACATGTGCTATTTTTCATGTTAAAGATGCTATGTTCTTGTCTGTTTTATTATTATGTGTACTGGATATGGCATTTAATTTTGTTGTACAGAAGGACAATGACAATAATTCAATTCAATTCAATTCAGGGTGACACCCTCCTGTCGCATCCTTATTCTACAGCTCCGTAGCTGATTATGAAAGGGATCCTCCTCCCAGAACTGGGTTGTCAATGTCACTGCCGGTGGTATGGCCATTTCCCAGGGATAGGGTGGTCCTGGGGAGGTCATCCTAGGGGCAATTGGTGTGGAAGGGGCAGGGGTCTGACACTGGGACTCCTTCACATGGAAGTAATAGTAATAAATAGTAACATGCTTTGAAGTGATTCATTAGAAACTACTTCAGTGTTCAGAAGTTATATACTAATTAAAATAATTGTTCTGTAAAAACAAAAATGAACGAATGAACAAAATACCCCACCAAAAATGGTAGAGTCTGACAGACCATAATGTCACATTTTAACCCTAAGGATTCTCCATTGTAGATAATAAAGATAACATAAGAGTGACCATACTGTACATGCTAGGGGTTGGATTCCTGTATTTAAATTCGACATCCTCCAGAGTTTTCAGATTTATATGGCTAGAACTTTTAAGGAAGGAAGCACTATCCAGCTTTACCAAGCAGCCTGGGGCTGGATTATTAAGAACAGATCTACTTTTGGCAATCATGTGTACTGCATATGTTCCAGGACTGTAAATCTTTGACCAAAATGCAAATAAAAATGCCAGGTGCCTATACAAAGCAGGGCTGCAGTTAATTGAGGAGCTAGAGGAATTGTTAAAAAAATTACAGCAAGAAATTTATTTTTATGAGTTTTTTCACCTGATGTATCATTCCCATTCATTCCAATGGGGCTCATCTAGGAGAAGTTCCTCTTAGAGGGTGCCTACTGGTATTTTGCCTCTGTTTTCCCCAGAAACCAAACAATCTATTACAAGTGAACATCTGCTCACTGTTATTTCTAATTTCATATATAGCTCCCTGATCACAGTAAATATTATCTTGAAGAAAAGGACAGCTATAGAATCATTTTATTTACAATTATATTAATATTTTAAAGGATAATTATGAACTATTAATGTGAACAACTGATATGCCATCCTTTTTCTTATCAAGTTTCTAGGGTGAGTAAAAATGTCTAACAAATTCAAAACTTAAAGCAATACATAAAACTAGTTTAACAAATGACAAAAAGATCAGAGTTATATTGTCAATACGAGACCTCATAAGACAGGTTAGGAACATCTTAGGGGACATATTGAAAGTGGAAAGAAAGACATTTTAATTGATGCTAGGGAAATCTATGTTCAATATTTGCCAAGCCTTCCTGGGGAGGGCATGTCTCATGTCTGGTGCCACAAATGAGAAGGGCCTTTCTGCACCTCTGTTGATGGGTGTAACATTCAGGAAGGTTCACATGGGATGAAATGATCCTTTCACTGATTGTGACTGTGGCGGGGACATCGGCAAGTCTTTTGGTCCGATTTCCAAGTCTGAGTCTTTGGTACCAATTCCTGAATCCAAAGTCCATTTCCATATTTAAAACAAGCTTTTTTATCCAGAAAAAAAGGGAGGGGTGGATAGGTTCCAAATCACGAGTTGAGTCTGAGTCACTGAAAATAAGCAAACACCTCGAGTCTGAGTCAAGTCACCAGAGCAACCTAAGTCCGACTTGACAGCAAGTCCCACTGCTAGAGTCACCATCCCTGGACTGTGAAGAGCTGAGGGTGGTAACAGTGTTGGTGGACAGATATACCCTTTGGGAAAGAGCAATACAACAGGGTATACAATATTGCTAAATGGTCTTCTAGTTTAGACACCCTGAAAACTTTAGTGACAAGTCCCCTGGATTAAAAATAGTGCCGCTGAATACGTAGCTGGTGAGAAGTGTTTATTGGCTATTTTTTCACTAGTTACATTTCCTGACATTTATCTCTGGATGAGTGTTGTGACTGTGTTTTAATACAGACATCTGGTTGGAAGGGGTGAGTGAGGTGGCATGGGGATGGAGACAGACAGACAGACAGACAGACAGACAGACAGAAAGACAGACAGACAGACAGACAGACAGAGGAAAGGAGTCTCCCAGCTTGGGATCTCAGTGTCATAGTTTGCAAGACCTGGGGAGTAGCCTTGGAGTGATCCTTGATGACACCATCCCCTTGCCTAGGTACACCATCCTATAGTTCCCCAGTTTTGTATGTGCGTATCTGAAGGAGTAGGTACAGAATGGAATTGAGATTTTCATAGTGTACTGCCTCCACCATTGACCAAGAGTCTCTCTCCCCTTTTGAGCTAGCTGGGGCACTCTCAGTGGTGGTGATGGGTTTTCTCCACTTGTCATATTGAGAGAGTGGCCTATTAGGACCAGCTCAGAAGTTCATGGCCCACATGGCAACTACAGCAACCTGAAGCTGTTCACACTTGCAATATCAGGCTTCACAGGAAGCTAATGCATCTGAATGGTTTATCTCACAGCTCCTAGGAATTTTCCTGCTCTCAAGAGGTCTGCTAAAGCCCTACTTGACTTCTGAAGCAGGTCCAGACAGTTGACATGATTTTTGGTAAATGTCCACTGAACATTTATTAGTTATTTCTTCATGGGTTACATTTACAGTGGACCCTCGACTTACAGACTTTTCGACTTGCAGCCACCATTCCAATACGGATTAATTCCTTAAGTAGAGGGTCCACTGTATAGCATATGTTAATTCCAACAAGCTCAAGACGTTGGGCATGGCTCTCCTCCTTCTTGTCCTCACTTCTATTCTCACACCATCAAGCCCGTGAAGTAGATCAGGCTAACAAAAAGTGACTGGCTGAAGGACATTTCATGATTTATGAAAGTCCAGGTAAACAAAACCCACATGTTTCAGGTCCTGATCCAACTCTTAAACACTTTTTAATGGAGCTGGGCTGATGAAATGAATGGGACAGCCAGTACAGGTCCTGATCCAACTCTTAAACACTTTTTTAATGGAGCTGGGCTGATGAAATGAATGGGACATCGTCACGTCCAGTCGTTCAGTCGTGTCCGATTCTTCGTGACCCCATGGACCAGAGCACGCCAGGCCCTCCTATCTTCCACTGCCTCCCGTAGTTGTGTCAATAATGAATGGGACAGCCAGCATTTATTTATTTATTTATTTATTTATTTATTTATTTATTTATTTATTTATACATACATACATACATACATACATACATACATACGCCGCACACTCTACCCAGAGGTCTCTGGACGGCTTACAACAGTAGAGTGATACTGACAGAAAACATGAAAATCCTGCTGCATATAGTGGGAGAACTCATTTGAGGGCATACTCTGTGGCAGTAGTGATGAAACTGTTTTCTGTCACTGTTGTATTTCCACTTATCCAGCAGAACTTTCTCATGTAGGCAGAATCATCTTATGCTTTGTTCCTATTATGCTTTAAAAGTATAGATCAATTGAAAGCATGTTGTCCCAGGTTTGCACAACACTTTCTGGATAAAACAGTTTGCATCTATTCCGATTTGAATGTCGCAGTTGATACAGACACCTTTGGTGTTTGCTTCTCCAGCTGTAACAGATACTTATATATACTGGATTTGGACAGGATCTTTGGTAAGATTAAAGATAAGACCTACCATGTTTATCCTCGACTACTATCTTTCCTGGTTTTAAAAACTTCCAGGAATGGACTGATCAATTTGGTAAGGACAGTCGTGAGTGTACCTTTGTAACAAGGCATACTTCCATCATGAGTAAAAGGTGTTGGTGTATCATCTATTTAAAAACCCTCCCTGAACAAAATCCTCCAAAGCTTGGAAAAGTTACATTTTGGGTCTACAACTCTATGAAATCAGCAATTTAATCTACTTTTATGTTTCAAATGTATTTGTTTTTATTTTAGTGCTGTTAGCTTCTTTAAGGGGCAGAAAAGGAGAATATAAATTAATTAATTAAATAAATACATTTTAGCTCTTTTATTATTAATTTAGTACAGTGTAGTGCATATCCAAGGTCTCTCTAATGAAAATATGTGGAAGTGCACAAACAGCAGCTGAGCATTCTTCCTTTCCTCTTGTTTAATAGCATGTGATAGCATGCAAACAGCTGGTGCTTTGAACATGTTGCAAACACTGGTGGCTTCAGAAGACTGTGGGAATTCTATGACTGCATGCAAAAAAAAATCACAGCATTTGGAATTTTATGAACAACCAGCGGCATGCTGTATTTCTACTGTACTCTATTTGATGGTTTAGGCATGTTAATTCAAAGCAGAGATGTAGTTCAAACAGTCCATGTTTTTACAGTATCTTCTTGCCTATTACCTTGCTGTAGGGGATTTAAATATATTTTGAGTACTCTGTCCTGTTAGTTAAAACAAAACTATTGCTTGCTACTGTTTGTCCTTTACAAACTTTTCATGCTTTTTTAAAAAATGAAAACCCTCAAGACAGCTTGACGAAAATTCAATAAAACAGCACAACGGCCACAAAGAGATTTTATCTTTTCTTTTTAATTTCTGGATGTCTGAGATCAAAAGCTTTGATCATTGCAAATGCTTTGCAGAGACAAAAGATTGTTAGGGGCACAAAATCAGTGTCCTTTGGGGTGGGGGAAGGGAACTTCACAGAAGAAATGTTGGGCAGGCTCTCTTCACTGTTTCCTAGCTTCCATTTTCTGGGGACATCTCCCTGAATCCTCACCTACCTTGGATCCGAACTTTAAATTCAGGCTCTGCTCCAGGAGATGAAAGCTGTGTGTTGCCTTCTGCCTCACAACTCTTTTCCCAGAAAACAACTACATGGAAGAGTTAAGAGCCACTACAAGCAGTAGATATATTTTGCTGTGTATTAGTGGAAGCATGACCTAAGGGGTAAGTGTAGGATCTGGCATAACATTGAACACATCCTTCATGCCCCCCCCCCACTAAAGCACACTTCTGACCCCCAACAGTTTTCCTTGATGGTGTGTGGAAAAAGTCTGAAGAGTGGGTCATTAAGGACCAAAGTATAGGTCACGTTAAATTCACAATGACACTTAAAGTCTGGATTGTGCTCATACTAAATGAAACATGTACCGTAGAATGCAACTTTGGCACATGGAGAGTGGGGGAGGCCGCTTTCCCACCCTGCTCCAGCCATGAATGAAAACTGCACATAAACCCACTCACATGTATTTGCCACAGTAAGGGCAGTGCAACTGTTACAAACAGTCACTTCCTTCTCAAAGCAACATAAAATTGGGGTAGGGGGTGCCATCCTGGCCTCAATCCCAATACAAGGCTGCATATTTAACAAACAACAAATATACATTACATATTTAACCTTATCTGGATACAGAACTTAGACCGTTTGGCTGCAGAAATCAAAAGCGTTTATCATGCAATATACTCCTCTCTGACTTTAGAGGAGAACTTTCTTATTCTTAGCACACTATTGGGAGACGGGGGTGGAAGTGTATTCTACCCATATAACTTAGCCCTTGAAGGAAACAGTTCTTTGGAATATTCCATTTTACTGTAATCCTTTCCCCAGTTTCAGGCACTAGAAAAGAGTAGAATAGTCAAATAAACAGTATTTATTTAATGCATGCATCCATTTCGAAAACATAAACACCAACGTTTTAAAAATCTTTTACGGCAAATAAAATCAAGGCAGCTTACCAAATACAATCACAAAATACATTCCATAAAACGCTACTCCCAGACTCTCCTTTTGGGGTGCCCATTTTAGTGCCACCAAACACTGATTCCCAGCCACAACTGATAGGGAGCAAGGGGTTGTGTTTTAAATAGAGCCCCAATGAAACAGAATAACTTGTAGGTGGCATGCAAGTGTTTTACTTGGAGCTGGGAATCTTGTCCTACATACAAAGTATAATACCTGAAATAGACACCATGCTGGTTTTTGTAGAGCAGAGTTGTGACAGGAAAACAACAAATCCATAATCCTTTTCTTCAAAACATAACCACAGCTAGATACCACAATATCTACTCACCTCTCTTCTTATCTACTATAGACACTGCTTGTATGAGAAGTGGTGCATTAGATTCAGTGTACTCCACAAAAACCAGGAGCAGTTTCAGAGCTGTCTTTACAACCAGGCGAAACTGCAAGGGAAAAAAGAACTTTTACTCATCAGGCTGTAACATTTGCAGAAACTCTTAATGAATCCAAACTGCTCCTGTATGATGCCATGTGAGTGGAGAAAAGCTGTATTAAGTATCCCTTCTTGATATATACAAATTATGATCCTGGTTATTAAAATAAGGATCATAAATCAGTTATCAATCAGGATTTCAAAGCAGTTGTACATATGAATCTTCCTTAAAAGAATCAGAACACTGGCTAGTTAGCCTAGTGACCTTCCCAATCATGCTGTCCAAAATCTTTTAACTGCAGATATCATCAACTGAGCCTGAGATCTTGCATGTGTAATGTGTCCACTATGCCAGTCACAAAGGAACATATAAAATATCTCCAGTGCTATCCATAGAGTTCAGCAGTAGTTGCCAAAATCACAGTGATCTTTCCTAGACTCCTTAAGTTTTTAAATTTTTATTTTACATAAGGATCCCAAGATTTAATGGGGGATATCCCCTATGCACTCTATGACTTGTAACCCATCTTCTGTAGTATGAACTCCAGCCTTCCCAATTTAGTGTCTTTCAGATAATTTGGACTCTCAGCATCCTTAATGGCACTAATGGAAGATGTAATCCAAAATGCTGACCAGCATTTGAAAAAGGTTACCCTTGGCCGTCATGATGACGATGACGACAATAATAACAGCAACTATGACTATAGGCATTGCACACCTATGCCCTTGCATACACATAGGCATTAAAGCTGCGAGGTATTGATCATATTCTGTTATCCCAACCAGAAATTTAAGTGGAAGCAATGGGCATTAAGGTTTGAACTCTAAAAACAACTCAATGGTTTATTTTGCAATTAGGCACTATAGGAGGTAGGTTAGAGGATAGCTGATGTTGATTTTGAAGCAGAAAATAATTAGGAATGGCTTATTTTGGTAGCAATATAAGTTTGGTGATTGACTCCAACACTTTGATGGGATTTCATCAAGTTTTCTCCTACTGATTTTGCTAGGGTTGTCAGACAATTTCTTCATTTATATTGCTTATTTTGAATCTCTACCCCACACACATTAAGTTAGATCTTTGTGCTATGCAGTTTTAAACAAAAGGCAGTTTTCATGCCTAATTTTAGACTATAGTTTACATTAGGACACCTTTATCCACAGCATCAGTCTGAAAATATTAAAAATATTAAAAGAAAAAAAAATCCATAAAAATAATTTTCATATTCATTACCAGAACTGGCTATAGAGGGAGACAGATAGCATGCTATGAAGAATACATAGCATGGTCTTGGTCTGCTTAAGGTCTCTCCTCTTGCAAGCTTTTTCCCGGGAGGTGGACAGTGAATCCTCCTCCTGCTGCTTGCTGGTTTACCCAGTATTTATAAAAACAAACAAAGAGTCAGCTGGGCGATCTAGGCAGGAAGTGGGATGGGGCAACATTTAGGGCCAGCTGGCTTTGGCAAGCAGTTCACATGCAGGTGAGTAACCCTCCTGAGCCAGTGGCTGTGGCCTCCATGCTCAGCCCTCCCTCCCTTTGGATAACTACCAGGTTTGCATGGATTGGAGAGAGGGCCATTGCTCCTGCAGGCAACTTTGTCCAAAGGGCTTGCCTTCATCTTCCAGACAGCTGCTGAGGGTGTTTGCTAT